TTAAACTGACAAGAGTGTCTAAAAATAAAAGGATTTCAAAAGTGCTGCAAAAGTGTTTTAGTGATCATTTCATACCCTGGCAAAAGTGAGCAAAAAAAGTGAGGATTCTCTCACGGGAAAGATTTTAAAAGGTTTTAAAAAGTTTCAAAACCACCAAAATGTTTCGTTATACCGTTCCTGCGGTATGCGCAGTTTTTTTTTTACGTGTCGTCAAAGACGGAAAGTGCAGGACTCCCTCATTTGTGAGCAGCGAAGAGCGTAACGAGTCACACAACCCCTCCCCCTCCGGTTGCTGCAAGCAATTATGAGCAGTCAGTGAGAGTCACCTGTGTGTGGGATGGCCGAAGGAGGTGAGTCCCTGGAACTTTTTGCCCCGTCGAAAAAGAAGTCTGTCGTATGGGAATTTTCTGGTAACGTAGACTTAACCATGTTCCGTACACAACGATGTTCCGTACAGATGACGTTTTAGCGCCAATCCCTAAATAAATACTTCCAGGTCAAATATAAACTATATATCTGTGTCATCTTCATTTCTCCCTCTCCTGGAGACCCACCCGCCGTCAGTGTTGAAAAATCAATTAAATACGTAATCAATTAAAGACGTAATCAAACAGACGATGAACACTATTAACAGCAATTATTATATGATGCAATCAAACTTCTAGCAAAATGTGGTAGTTCTGTATGTTGTTTCAGGGTTGGCATCATCTGAGGTCCTCTGAGGGGTTGGCATCATCTTTTGTGAGCAGCGAAGAGCGTAACGAGTCACACAACCCCTCCCCCTCCGGTTGCTGCAAGCAATTATGAGCAGTCAGTGAGAGTCACCTGTGTGTGGGATGGCCGAAGGAGGTGAGTCCCTGGAACTTTTTGCCCCGTCGAAAAAGAAGTCTGTCGTATGGGAATTTTCTGGTAACGTAGACTTAACCATGTTCCGTACACAACGATGTTCCGTACAGATGACGTTTTAGCGCCAATCCCTAAATAAATACTTCCAGGTCAAATATAAACTATATATCTGTGTCATCTTCATTTCTCCCTCTCCTGGAGACCCACCCGCCGTCAGTGTTGAAAAATCAATTAAATACGTAATCAATTAAAGACGTAATCAAACAGACGATGAACACTATTAACAGCAATTATTATATGATGCAATCAAACTTCTAGCAAAATGTGGTAGTTCTGTATGTTGTTTCAGGGTTGGCATCATCTGAGGTCCTCTGAGGGGTTGGCATCATCTCTTCTCAGGTGTTCTGGATCCAGACTGAAGCTTGTGTAAATCCTACATCCCGTGGCAAAAACAGAGAAACAAATAGAGACATAATTAGCGTAGCTGCTGTTCCAACCAAGCAAAATTGATTTGTTTAACCCAAACTAAAGAATAATAATAATGTGGGTGGCGTCTGGTTATTTGTTAATCTAGCCACTGTGCTAAATAAAAACCTTGGATTGTTTTGGATATTTTCTATGCGTTTGTGGATATGCTCGGCCCTGGCAGCTTCTAGAGCCTGTCTATAGCTGGACATACTGTTTTTCCACGCAATTTTAAAAACTTCCAAGTTTTTCTCCATTTGCGCTCAAGACTACTTGTTTTTTTCTTGAGAGAATGGGTATTACTGTTGTACCTTGGCGCAGTACGTTTTTAAAATCAAAATAGAACTAGTGATAACGCGCTCTGATTGTTTTTGTTGTAGAATACGATAGGGGATATATTCACACGTTATAGAAGGTATCACGTCTATACTTTTAAGCCTCCTGCCATTGTTTACATCTGTTCAAAATCACGCATTTAAAAAACAAACTTTGCCACTGTTTGAGTGTTGTACGGAGAGACCGTGCGTGTGTGCGTGTGTGTGTGTGTCTGTGTGTGACACTCGCGCTCTCTCTTTCTTTACGTGTGTATACGCACACATCCTCGTACCTCACCGCTCCAAACTTAATCCGGGAAAGGTGAACATTCCTGCATCATAACTTGGACTGAAAGATGAATGTGTAGAAAGCAAGCATGTCTCCAAAAACCTTGTTGAGCTGCAGGTTTAATGACTGAATTTTTTTTTTATTTTTGAATTTTGAATTTTTTTACAGAAATTATGTTTTGATTATATTTTTGATTATTGGGCTGCAGGTTTAGGCTCACTTAAGTGACTGCATTTTTTTCATTTATAGGGATTTTTTTATTTATTATTTTATTTTTTTACAGAAAATATTTTATTTATGTTATGATTATTGTTGAGCTGCAGGTTTAGGCTCACTTAAGTGACTGCACTTAATTAAGAAGAATTTAATTATTTATTTTAATTATTTAGCCTGACATGTTTACTGTTCCAAAATGTTCTATATGTTTCTTAAAAATAAAATATGTGTTCAGTGGGGGAAAAAAAGTTGTCCAGACATTTAAAAATAACTTATTTTAGAGCTGTAATCACAATACCGTGATATCGTGAAACCATGATATTTGTATCTAAGGGTTATCATACCGTCAGAATCTCATACCGGCCCATGCCTAGTCGTTCATCACAGAGGGCAGAAGGTCTCGTTCACAGGAACACAATCACCGACATGCTGTCAATAATTCAAGGCCATCAGGTGCCCTGAAGACACATCAGCTGTCATTGTAACCAAACCCTGTTGTGATCCGCAGCGGCCTGAAATACTGAAACACAGCACTCTCCACTCCTCACAGCGCAGGGTTAATGTGCTTTACTGACACGGCAGATATTCCTACATTCAGATAACAGTCAGATTAAAAATGTAAATCAATTCCCATTAATAAATAAAAGAGAAAACAATGCAGTGTATAGTTGAAGGTAAAATCCATAATGTTAAATGAAGATAAGAATAAAAGGAATCCTACTAATTAAAGAAGTGCTGGTGAAATGTGGTGTAGACAGGGTTTCGCACAGACACGCGTGTGCCGTCTTGTGTTCACCTCATGAGAACTGCATCAAGATCCACTTGCAGAAGCTGATTTGTTGTGTTCCTGTGGATCTGTAGGATATTTTTGCAGAATTGTTCTAATTGGTGAATTCTTGATTTTGTTTGTCAGTGGACTTCACCAGACAGGACAATCCGCTCGATCACTGATTCGATGATTTTCACCGATTCTAATCAGATCTCTATGGGACGTTGTGGTTTGATGGCATCTCTCTCAGTGTCTCTCAGCTCATTCACTTCTGTGTTGAAATGTACTTAGGATGTGATGTTTGGGCCTGCTGTAGGTAGTGCAGTATACTGTAACGAGTGAGTTATCTTTTTAGTTCCTAATGGTTTTTTTCTGATTTGTTAAATAGTGTTTGGAAATGAGTTCCCCATATTTCTCCATTTTAAGTTATCCATGGACAGGTTTTGATTTTGAATATATTGTGCTTTGTGTGTTGTTTTAATGTTTCACAGTAAAGCGGTGGATCTCTATTATTCAGGTTTCCATGTTTCTGATTGGTCAGCATTCTGAGGCGCTTGCAAACTGCTTAGAAAGTCTTGATCAAACCATTTTTGGATGTGTGATTTTTCTGTTTTCAGCTTTGACTGTTTTGCTGTTCTTTCACAGCTCGATTGAGCGCTACTGTAGTGTGATCATAGACAGTGTGCAGAAACAGCATTTGTATTGTCTGGCTGCTTATTGTTTTCTGGTTCCCCTCTGCACTGTAGCTCTGGGACGCTGATGCTGGAATATATGTGGCACGCATTTAAAAGGTCTGTTTGTGATGTGGGTACTTCTTTATGGAGTTTAAGCCAGATCCGATACGGGCCAGTGTTGGTAATAAACAATAAACCTCTAAATATTGATTAGTGGTTTCTTGTGTTGGATCTAAACTTTGCAGGAAGGAAGGATCAGGATTGAGTCCCTGATCTAAACTGACTGTGAGCCGAACAACGGGTTGAAATTGAACAACTAGTCGGACCGTGTGAAGTGCTGTCTTTGGCCCTAAACCCAGATTATGTTGTTAGGTGTCTAATAGAAACCGGTCGTGTTCATAATTAGCACTTGTGTCTAGAATTATCAGTGCTGTGAATCAAACTCTACTTCAGAACGTGAAGGTTCATCGAGCTGCAGCATGTAAATGTTCACAGTACTGTGTTTTTCAGGCCGTATTCTGAGCAGATTAAGAGGATTGATGACCTACAGTAACTAACCCACCCTCCCCAACCGATCACATGACTGAGAGCCTAAACCGGTCAGCAGCTCGGCTTATCCTGCGCTGACTAGGCTTTCAGACAGTCTTATGAAGATATCTTCATGCTGTGGATAATTGAATTACACAGCTGTAACTCACTATAAAACAGCGAGCAATGCGTCACACCATCATCTGTACAAATACTGTACAGCAGCTTTAACCTGACTAATATCATGCTCAGTAAGTCATTCTGAGTCTTTAGTTTTTGACTCCAGTGTTTTGTACTGATGACTATATGGCTTGAAACGTGAAATCTGTGGTTATTCAGTGAAATGAGCTGTTTACGGCTGAAAGAATCATGAGAACTCTGAGGTTCAGGAGGAAAATGGATCTGAAAGCTTGATGAAGTACGGTTTCCCTGTTCTTCAGAGCGCTGAACAGCTTGCTCTGCTTCTGTGGTCCAGAGTAAAGTGAGTCTGAAGTCTCATTGATTCACAAGAGCTGCTGATCTGTGATCTGAATGCTGCTCCACAGTTTGAAAACAAGGAGCGTTTCATTCGGCCATGAGCAGAACATAATGAGCTTTTGTTAGGAAACAAAGGCACTAATTCAGTGTCACAAACACACAAACTCATGCACGCTTACACAACAGCCACATGTACAGTCTTTCACTTTCTTTTGACACAACCAGTATTGTATAAAGCGCTTTATAAATAAAGGTGACTTGTGAGCCGCACTAGTGAAGGTTCAGATGATGTTTGTATTTAATTCCTGTGATTGTTTAACTAGTCCTCTGGTTATGAGAGGTGTCTGCTCCACATCTTCATCCTCTGCCACTTCCTCTCTGTTTTTCTACATTCATTCTTCCTCTTTGTTTTGGTCTTTCAGGAATTCCCTTCCCAAAGAACTTCATCCAGATCTGTAAGAAGATCCTGTGTCGTCTTTTCCGTGTGTTCGTGCACGTCTACATCCATCACTTCGACCGGATCCTCCTGATGGGAGCCGAAGCGCACGTCAACACCTGCTACAAGCACTTCTACTACTTCTCCACCGAACTGAACCTGATAGAGCGCAAGGAGCTGGAGCCGCTGGTGAGAACAGAACCAGACACACGTCTGCTTAAAGTCCATGGCATAGATATAATACAGCATCATTTCATTCTTCAGTTAGAAATGGACCTTCTGCAATAGATTCAGCTGGATAAAACCTTCCTGAATTCATGAATAATTGCTGATGAGAGAAAGCTAATTTTCTCATGTTCTTGATGCTGATTATTTTATAGTTGTAGTATTGAGGACGAGGGAAAGTCATAGATTTGTAATCAGTGATGACAGAATGAATCACTAACCCTTTAGTATCAGCGCAGTGATGTGAGTGTGAGAGATATTGTGTGTGTGTGTGTGTGATATTGTGTGTGTGAGTGATATTGTGTGTGTGTGTGTGTCACCGTTATTTTATTTATATAGCGCTTTTAACAATACAGATTGTGTCAAAGCAGCTGTACAACATTAATTAGGAAAATAGTGTGTCAATAATGCAGAAGGACAATAGTAAACACTAATTTTTCAGTTAAAGGCAGTTCATCATTGAATTCAGTGATGTCATCATCCAGCTCAGTTCAGTTTAAATAGTATCTTTGCAATCATTTGCAATCAAGTCAACGATATCGCTGGAAATGAAGTGTCCCCAACTAAGCAAGCCAGAGGCGACAGCGGCAAGGAACCAAAACTCCATCGGTGACAGAATGGAGAAAAAACCTTGGGAGAAACCAGGCTCAGTCAGGGGCCAGTTCTCCTCTGGCCAGACGAAACCAGCAGTTCAATTCCAGGCTGCAGCAAAGTCACATTGTGCAGAGGAATCATCTGGTTCCTGTGATCTTGTCCCGGTGGTCGTCTGAGACAAGATCTTTTACAGGGGATCTGTATCTGGGGCTCATCTAGTTGTCCTGGTCTCCGCTGTCTTTCAGGGCTGTAGAGGTCCTTTCTAGGTGCTGATCCACCATCTGGTCTGAATATGTACTGGACAGTGACTGCAGTGACCATCTGATCTGGATACAGACTGGATCTGGTGGCAACGGTGACCTCGGAATAAGAGAGAAACAGACTAATATTAGCGTAGATGCCATTCTTCTAACGTCTGTGCAAGTCCACGATATCACTGGAAATGAAGTGTCCCCAACTAAGCAAGCCAGAGGCAACAATGGTGTGTGAGTGTGTGTGAGTGAGTGTGATATTGTGTGTGTGAGTGTGATGTTGTGTGTATGTGTGATGTTGTGTGTGTGTGTGATGTTGTGTGTGTGTGTGATGTTGTGTGTGTGTGTGATGTTGTGTGTGTGTGTGATGTTGTGTGTGTGTGTGATGTTGTGTGTGTGTGTGATGTTGTGTGTGTGTGTGATGTTGTGTGTGTGTGTGATGTTGTGTGTGTGTGTGATGTTGTGTGTGTGTGTGATGTTGTGTGTGTGTGTGATGTTGTGTGTGTGTGTGATGTTGTGTGTGTGTGTGATGTTGTGTGTGTGTGTGATGTTGTGTGTGTGTGTGATGTTGTGTGTGTGTGTGATGTTGTGTGTGTGTGTGATGTTGTGTGTGTGTGTGATGTTGTGTGTGTGTGTGATGTTGTGTGTGTGTGTGATGTTGTGTGTGTGTGTGATGTTGTGTGTGTGTGTGATGTTGTGTGTGTGTGTGATGTTGTGTGTGTGTGTGATGTTGTGTGTGTGTGTGATGTTGTGTGTGTGTGTGTGATATTGTGTGTGTGTGTGTGTGTGTGTGTGAGAGAGATATTGTGTGTGTGTGTGTGTGTGTGTGTGCGAGTGTGATATTGTGTGTGTGTGTGTGAGAGAGATATTGTGTGTGTGTGTGTGTGTGTGTGAGAGAGAGATATTGCACTAATGTAATTCTCTCTCTCTGGGGATTTCAGAAAGAAATGACCTCTAGAATGTGTTTGTGAGCGCCGGCGTCTGGACCGTTTCCAAACACTCACACCTGAGAGGCTTTTCTCAGGAGCTTTAATCCGTGAACTGGACGTTGCCGTGGAGATGAGGTCGTCACCGGGGTGATTCCAGAGCCTGGTGTCATCATCACTGAACCAGACTGAACTGTAAGGATCTGAGGCTGAGAGACTGACAGTGAGCGCCATCTAGCGGCGAGGCGTGTTACTCACACTGTGCTAACAGAGCAATCAGAGGACTAATGTTTCGTTCAGACATCTGCTCAAATCCACAGTAAGACGTGGACACCTTCATTTAACGTTCAGCTCTGTGAGGTTTGGATGAGCTGCTTTCATTCATCTCCATGCTGCTTTATTTCTGTTTGTGCTGCACTGAAATGATGGGTTAGTTTTAGTCACTGGATCATTTGATGATAAATCTGATGCTCAGTTCAGCCACGGACAGCAATTCTGTGAACTGGACGTCAGTATTCATTGGCCAATCACAGTCTGACAGTGTGTTCCTCTTAGTTTGAGGAGAGTTGAAACGGTCACACAGTGTCAGTCGGATCTGCACTGATTCTGTTCAAATCTCTCGTTTGCAATAAAACCACTAATATAAATTCAGTTTAATTGGTGTTGTGTGAGTTCCACTTTTAAGCTCTCGTCCATCTTTTTTTTTTCTTTGAAACGTGACCCTGTAAATTTCATAATGCAATAAAGAATATTTTGATTGTTTAACTGTATCGCTCCCAACATTTCTGAGAACATATAGCTGAAATATTTGATTGTAATACTTCTACGTGTCCTTGCACTGATATCTCTGTCTCTGCATTCAGTGCAGCAACACAAAGCTTCTCTAGTCGACCTGAAAAACCCTAACTTTCAGTCGATAAGCTCTTTATCAGCTGCACTTACCTTGATTACATGAACCTGCAAGTCAGCGTAACAGAAGCTGGAGTTTCTTAAACGCTGCTCAGCGAGAGCGACTGGATTAGACCCTGAGTGGTCTGACGGGTGTTTCTGCTGTCTTTAATCTCAGGATTGTGAGCAGAGGCTGATATAAGAGCCAGCGATCGCGTCTGCTTCTCAGTGCTGCGCTGGAGCTCCTGACGAAGACTCTTGTGCTGTTCATTCTTCATCATGACACAGACTCGCTTAGATTTCACTGCTCAGGCAATCCTAATCATTAGTCACATTGTTTTTCCCCTCAAGCTTTCTCTCTCAGGTCTGTCTGCTAGAGCGTGAGGGCCGCAGGCTTCATCATGGGTGAGAAACCGTCCTCGTCCTCCGGGCCGCCGCTGTGTGTGCAGCTCTTCTCCGCCGTGGCTCTGGTGTGTTTCGGTCTCTACTGCATCGTCAGAGGAGTCTCCTTCGGCCTCTTCAACTGGTGGTACATTCTGGGCGCCGCCTGCCTGCTGGCCACCGGCTTCGCTGCCTTCCGTGTCTACGAGGTGTGTGTGATCATGACACAGAGGGAGACGGCCAAGGGAGAGCCGTGAGAGACCAGCCGTGTGTCCTGGTCAGGACGTCAGGACCCGTCTTCATGTGGAGTGAATGATTACATTACAGCTGCAGACTGACAGAATCCATGAAGACAACAGCGTCTGATCTTTATGGGGTGGTGAAATGGACAAAAGACAAATGTCCTGTTGATCTTTTACCAAAACTAATGCTAATTTTTTTTTAATCATTAAATCAGGGGGAAAACTTACATGCGTATGACACTTGTGTTGTCAGCTGAATTGATTTGATTGAGAGTCGCCTGAAGCTGAAGATTAGGGGAAGTTTCCTGATTTAATGCAAGATTCATTAGAGCCAAATTACACTATCATTAGAATGCTTTTTCTGTAAAGATGCTTTGAAACCATCTGTATTGTGAAAAGCACTATACAAATAAATGTGAAACTGATTTTAGTCCGCATGCTCATACTGTGACTGGAGATGATCCTAGTGTTACAATGAGACAGAATGTGGATAAAATCAAAGAGGTCGATTAAAAACATAAGTGACTTATCAGTGGAAAATTTACCATGAGAAGTTCAGCTAGACTGAAATTACCAGTGTTTCATAGTCTTATGATGGACATTTAATGAAAACTGTTTCATAACCAATAAATTCTCTCAATTGCCAGCGTCACAGCAAACGGTTGTAAAAAGATGTCTAACCAATTCCTGTATCATGTACATAATTACACACTGAACTCTTATTTGTCTGTAATGCAGCTCTAGTTTGTTTCATGTGTGCTAAGAAACAGTTATAAATTGTTTTATTTATAGAAGTTTTCCCAGAGGTTTTGTGGGCTCATTCGTTTCCATTACAGGTCTATTTTGCACAAAGCAGTATGTACATGTAGAAACAAGCTGGCTCACAGTATCTAAGACAGGCTTTTTATTAAAAACAATGAAATATACATACGTCACACATCTGTCAGTATCTCCAGTCATCATCTCACACAACATAAAAGAAATATGATTCGGTAGTCATTTACTAATGAAACACAGTGTGTGTAAAACTGTGAATCCTGCTCAGAGGATCTACAGGTGCATCTCAATAAATTAGAATGTCGTGGAAAAGTTCATTTATTTCAGTAATTCAACTCAAACTGTGAAACTCGTGTATTAAATCAATTCAATGCACACATACTGAAGTAGTTTAAGTCTTTGGTTCTTTTAATTGTGATGATTTTGGCTCACATTTAACAAAAACCCACCAACTCACTATCTCAACAAATTAGATTGAGATGCACCTGTAATTAAGCGTTCGTTAAGCGCTCTGAGATTTGTACAGTAACAGCGAAGCGTCAGCCGGCTTCCTCTGCAGAACAGTCAATGCCGGCGTATGTGAACTTCTCATAGAGCGTCGTGTTGACGTACGTCTGGAGAGAACGAGAGGAGAGCGTTTACAGCAAAACAACATGCAGTTTAAAACCATCAGAGCACTTCGACTGGAAGACAAATAATGCTCCATCTCTGGATCTCATACCTTCCTCTCTTCCAGCATACGATTGAGTGACATCAAGATCTGAGCGAATGAAGGTCTCTCGTAAGGTTTCTCCTTCCAGCACTGCTTCATCAGCTCATACCTGCAGAGACAGAGAAGCAGACTCATCTCCACTCTATCATCCACAGATGGACACAGGTGTTTGAGACTTACACCTCGTCGTCACAGTTGAGCGGCTTCTCCAGCCGATAGCCCTGCGGGAGTTTCTCGTACAGCTGCGTGCACGTCATACCGCAATACGGCGTTCCACCTGCCAATCAAAGCCACCAAATCACATCATGCCAGTAAGAAA